ACTCAAAAAAAAAAAAAAAGAAATACAGTGTAGCAAGACCTTTTTCTACAAAAGAATACATCAGCCAACGTGGCAGCAAGAATACTTGAAAGACTAAGGTGGAATGATCACCTGAGATCAGGACTGTGGTAAGCCTTGATTGGGCCCTTGCACTGCAGCCTGAGTGACACAGAGACGGCAACTTAAAAATATATACATGATAATAGATTGGAAAAGTTTTTTTTTTTTTTGAGTTGGAGTCTCACTCTTGTGGCCCAGGCTGGAGTGTAGTGGCACGTTCACAGCCACTGCAGCCTCAACATGCTGGGCTTAGGTGATCCTTCTGCCCCAGACTTCCAAGCAGGAGAAAATGTTCTTAATATGGATCTTGGCAATGATTTTCTTGACACCATAAGTACTATATCAAGCTGGGCTTGGTGGCCCAGCCTGTAATCCCGCGCCTTTGGGAGGCTGAGGTGAGTGGATTGCCTGAGCCCGCGGGTACGAGACCCACCTGGGCTCGAGACCTCAACTCTACAGTAAGTCAAAAAATTAGCTGGGCATGGTAGCGCATGCCTGTAATTCTGGCTACTCGGAAGGCTGAGGCAGAAGGATCACTGGAGCCCAGCAGGCGAGACTGCGGTGGCTGGGAGCGGCTACTGCACTCCAGTCTGGGTGACAGAGTGAGACTCTAACTCAAAAAAACAAAAAAACAAAAACACAAACAAACAAAAAAAGCAAGCAGAAAAAACTTGGGCTGCATCAAATTAAACAGCTTCTGCAAAGTAAACACTAAGAAGGCTTAAGAATAAAAGAAAATATTTGCAAACCATGTATCTGATAAGAGGTTAAAGCCAATATATGCACACAATTCATACAAATTGAAGACCAAACAATTAAATGATAGTCACTTGACTGAAAGCATGAAGTTATTTTTCCAATGAAGACAAATTGCCAACAGGTAACTATTTTTAAAATGGTGCTCAACATCATCAATCACCAAGCAACTGCAAATAAACACACGGATGAGACATCATCTCATGCTTTTTAAGATGGCTAATATTAACTGGAAGAGAGATAAGTGTTGACAATGATATGAAAAAAAAAAAAAACTCCTGTACACTGTTGGTGAGTTTTAATCTGATAGTCAGTATGAAAACCATTTTGAACAGTCTTTTCAAAATAAAACATTAAACCAGCATACAACCCAGCAATCTCTTTTCTGTGTACATAAGAAAATAAAATCAATATATCAAAGTATCTACAACACTACATTCACTGCAGCATTTGTCACAATATCCAAGCTATGAAAACAACCTAAATGTTTGTAGATGCTGAATGAATTAAGAAACTATGCTGCATATATACACAGAAAACCATTCAGCCATTAAAAAAATAGAATCCTGCAATCTCAACATCAAGGGTAAAATTGTAAGATATCATGCTAAGTGAAACAAGAAAGGCACACAAAGGCAAATACTGCATGACTTCACACGTGTGGAATCAAAAATTTGCACTCATAAAGGGAAGGAAGAAAGTCCAACCATGGGGCCACAGTCACAGGTGGGAGAAATGCTGTTTAAAGGATACACGATTTTACTTATAAACTAAATGATTTTAAAAGATCTAATGTATAAAAGTGACTATAGTTAATAGCGGCTTCTCTACTTAAAAAATTTCCTAGCCGGGCTTGGTGGCTCAGTCTGTAATCCCGCGCCTTTGGGAGGCTGAGGTGAGTGGATTGCCTGAGCCCGCGGGTTCGAGACCAGCCTGGGCAGCGAGACCTCATCTCGACAATAAACCAAAAAATCAGCCGGGCGTGGTAGCGCGCGCCTGTAATTCCGGCTACTCGGAAGGCTGAGGCTGAGGCGGAAGGATCGCCGGAGCCCAGCAGGTCGGTGGCCGGGAGCGGCCACTGCACTCTAGTCTGGGCTACTGAGTGAGACTCCAACTCAAAAAAAAAAAAAAAATTTCCTGAACCTGCCTAATGAACATTTGTACACCTAAGACTGAATTGTATCATACATCTTAAAAAATTTTGCTCAAACAGTAAACCTGAAACATTCCCATTTAAAAAAATTAAAGGGCAACCCTGTGTGGTGATAGATATTTTCACTAACATCATTGAATTCATTGATTCACAATATATAAACATGAAATCATTTCATTGCATACAATAAATAAAGATTAAAGACCAGGTGTGGTGGCTCACACTTATAATCCCAGCACTTTTGGAAGCCGAAGTGAGAGAATTGTCTGAGGTCACGGGTTCAATACCAGCCTGAACAACTTGGTAAGATCTCATCTCTACAATAAATCAAAATTTAGACAGACAAGGGGGCATGTGCCTATAATTCCAGCTAGTTGGAAGGTTGAGGCAGAAGGATCAACTGACCACAGCAGGTCGAGTCTGCAGTGGCTGTGAGCATGACACTGCAATGCAGCCTGGGCGACAGAGTGAGACTGCAATTAAAAAAAAATTAAACAATTTTTATTTGTAAAAAAACTACATATGTTGATAATCATGCATGTGTGTATATATATGTATAAATGTATATAGCCCTAAGCTTTATACTAAACAAAATTTTTAAATGAGTTATTTAAAAAACAGGATAAAATGTGAGAATTTAATATATTTACCAATGCTCCGACACAATAAACTGAAAAAATTTGGCAGTTAGAGTTTTTAAAAAAATCTCAGTTCAAACTAAGAAATTTTTAAAATAAAATAACAATATGGTTTCTTCTAATTAGGGAAATAGTCTGTGTTTTGGCAAACTTGTTTAATATGAATTTCTAGAAAATCACATTTTAAACCTCCCTAGGACCAGAAATCATAAGGCAGAAAACAAACATCTGCCCATGGTGTTCCTGGAATTTCTGTACCAAATAAGAAAATCAGAACTATTATCACACAGTTTAGGGGAGATACAAAAAATAATTTAAAAATTAGTTTACAGCCAGGCATGGTGGCTCATGCCTATAATCCCTGCACTTTGGGAGGCACAGGTGAAAGGACAGTCTGAGCCTACATATTCAAGACCAGCCTAGATAATTTGGCCAGACCACCTCTCTACAATAAAATAAAAAAATTAGCCGGGTGCGGTGATATGTTCCCATAGTACCAGCTACTTGAAAGGCTGAGATGGAAGGATTGCCTGAGCCCATCATGTTGTTTGTGGTGTCTGTGAGCATGACACTGCACTCTAGCCTGTGTGACAGAGTGCCAACACAAAAAACAAAGAATGGTGACTAGGAGTTTCTAAAGACTAAACAGATATTCCCACATTCCCAAAAGCAACAGAAGAACTGTCACATCATGCAGTCCTTATGAATCATTAAGAGGACATTGACTTTCACTGTAACCTTCAGAAGAGTTCACTAAGGAAGAAGTGGAGGTTTTGGAGAACTTCAGAGCATGAAACAGTAGGTGTTCCTACGTGACAGAAAGAGAAAGATATCCAGGCTTCCTGGAAAGCATTTCCCGTAAGCAGACCCCTTCCCAAACACTTCAGACGTGCCTTCCTCCTTGACTTTTCATGTGTGCTTCACTCACTCTCACCTACCTGTGGGTTTCTCTAACATGTTGTGTCTCTTCACATTCCAGGGCTTGTTCCTTCGCTTCAGACACATGATCAGGTCTGGTTTAGAGACATCAAGGCCTGTTTTAGTAAAAAAAAATAACTCTCACTGGGATTGTCCAGTGACCGAACTTGTACTGTGCTCAGTAGTGAAAACATTATGCAATGGGATTCTCAAAAAGGAGTCCCAAAATACTGTTTCCCAACAGAACCTTCATAACATTTAGGAAGAATGTTCAATTTGTGAGTCCTTACTTAAGTGGCAGAAGATACACATTGATGACAGCAATTCGTTTTTAGCTATGGGCAATGATATTGTATGCCACTAAAATTTTGAACTTATCATTAACCTGGAAGACATTAATTATCTTCAACATTTTCTTTTCTTTGCCAAGAAGGCACCACATTTTCTGTGAAATCAGGAATTTGAACCTATTTATATAAAGCAGAAAATTCCAAGAAACATTCTCTCAGTCAGGCTCGGTGGCTCAGCCTGTAATCCTGTGCCTTTGGGAGACTGAGGTGAGTCGATTGCCTGAGCCTGTGGGTTCGAGACCCACCTGGCAACTTGGCAAGACCTCACCTCTACAATAAATCAAAATGAGCTGGGTATGGTAGTACACACCTGTAGTTCTAGCTACTTGCAAGGCTGAGGCAGAAGGATCACCGGAGCCCAGCAGGTCAATGCTGCAGTGGCTGGGAGTGGCCACTGCACTCCAGTTTGGGTGACAGAGTGAGACTCCAACTCAAAAAAAAAAAAAAAAAAGAAACATTCTCTCCAAAAAGGACAGTAAATATGGAGGAGGAATTGTGTGTTGAGGCTCTCCTCACCCAGGGAAACAAGGTTTCTGTGGTTCTCCATCATCACATTCCTGTACAAAGTCTGCTGTGCAGGGTCCAGGCATTTCCACTCCTCCAGAGAGAATTCTATGGCCACATCTCTGAATGTCAACGGCCCCTGAAAACAACACACATTTACCGTATGGGGATGGGCATTATTCTTCATTGAACTCCAGGTGAAACAGGAGTGAAGACAACTGGTTCTAACTAACATGGCATCTGCAATTAACCAATAAGATAGCTTTTAACACATAAATATTGGCAGATATTTAAATCTGAGGAAAAAAGATGGAATCAAATCCATTCAGTCAGCATAAATACTGTACTTAAGTGACTGATACACTGTAAAATTCAGGCACCAAGGCTGGCCTGTATATTTATTATGTATATTTACATCAAACAGGGTATGTTGTATACATTGCTCAGATGGTAAACTCAGTGACTTAGAACATCCCTCTAAAATTGTTTTTAGATAGAACTTACAGTTTATTTAAAAGTAAATTAGAAGACAGGCTCTGTGACTGAGCCCGTAATTCCATGCCTTGGGAGGGTGAGGTGAGTGGATTGCCTGAGCCCACAGGTTTGAGACCCACCTGGGCAACTTGGTGAGACCTCATATCTATAATAAATCAAAAAATTAGCCGGGTGTGGCAGTGCCTGCCTGTAATTCCAGCTACTCAGAAGACTGAAGCGGAAGGATTGCCGGAGTCCCAGCAGGTAGAGGCTGCAGTGGCCAGGAGCACCCACTGCACTCCAGTCAGGGTGACAGAGTGAGACTCCAACTCAAAAAAAAAAAAAGTAAATTAGAGTAAGAGAGAGATTCACCTACCCATGGTAGGAGGGGAAAGCCAGGAAACATAGTGACAGGCATAACTCAAAGGACGCAAGGCACATCAGAGTGTAGCAAGACAATGCTGAGGAGGTTCTGGCAATGGCACCCTAAAGATTGAATGTGTACAACAATGAACTGAATATTGTAAAAATGCAGGTTCTGATTCCGGAGTTCTGAAGTAAAACCTAGAGTGTATGCAATTCTGTTTAGTTGGTGGTTTCCCTGTTTCACCCATAGCTCACCAAAGTCTCAACCTCCTGATATAAAAAGATCCACATTCCTCAACCTCCCATGTAGCTAGGACTATGGGCACACACCACCATGTCCAGATCTTTTTTGACTTTTTGGGTAGAGATTAGGTCTGGCCAGGATTGGTGGCTCAGCCTGTAATCCCACGCCTTTGGAAGGCTGAGGTGAGTGGATTGCCTGAGCCCGCGGGTTCGAGAGCCACCTGGGCAGCAAGACCTCATCTAAAATTGTTTTTAGATAGAACTTACAGTTTATTTAAGTTCTACAATAAATCAATTAAGTTCTACAATAAATCAAAAAATCAGCCAGGCGTGGTAGCGCATGCCTGTAATTCCAGCTACTCGGAAGGCTGAGGTGGAAGGATCACCAGAGACCAGCAGGTCGAGGCTGTGGTGGCCAGGAGCGGCCACTGCACTCCAGTCTGGGCGACAGAGTGAGACTCCAACTCAAAAAAAAAAAAGAGATTAGGTCTGGCTGTATTGCCTAGGCTAATGTTTAATTCTTGGGCTCAAGGGATTTTCCTGCCTCAGCCTCCTAAAGTGCTGGGATGATAGGCCTGAGCCACACTGCTTGACCTGACTTTCTGCATTTCTAACAAATTCACCAATTATGTTAGTACTACTGACTCAGTAAGAATATTTTACAAACATACACCAAGTGGGAGATACCAGGTATATCTCAGTTTATCTGACCAGTAAACAAAGGCGTGTGCCTTCATTTTCAAAAGCAAACTATATGCACAGGAATAAAAGGAGTGCTTCCAGATTAAATTTGATGATCTTTGTAGAATCTCCCCAAGGTATATACAAATCACAAAAAATATACTTTATAGTGAGAAAGTCAGATGTCACCTTAATCAAGAAATCTCTAATAGTGTCTTTAGTTTGTTTTTAGCATCCTAGAGAGCAAGTTACATCTAATAATTATTTATTTAGACCTTCCTGAGTTATTCTGTGCATTAACTACCATATGTTGAAATGTGTGTTTTATTAACCAGGTTTTGCATTTACCTAATGGATCATCCAGAAAAATCCTTAATCATAGTTGTTCCCATATTTCCAGCTACTTGGCAGGCTGAGATTGAAGTATCACCTGATCTTTACAGGTTGAAACTGGTGGCCAGTGGTATGCCATAACCCCAAAGCCTGGGTGACACAATTAAAAAGTGACCACTCTTTATTAATATCTGAGAATCTACCCCATCTCCAATAGGAGACTTGGGGATCCATGCCTTCCTATGTTTCACAGTCACAAGGGAATATTTGTAATGAAATGGATTCATTGTGAGAACTATTCATGGCAGCTTAGAAGCATGAATGAAGGAACAGGGAGAAACCTGTGTTGTGTAGGGAAGCAGTGTTTATCAGAGTTCCTTTAATATCAGAAGAAGAACAAAAAACCAAGCTGAAATGAACTCATTAGGCAGGACTATCACAAGTAGAGAAGTAAAGCTTTGCAAATTCTAAAATCATGACATTCGAGTAAAAATAGTGGACACAGCACCTAACTTGGGACACACGAACCAGAGAACCAGACATTTCTTCCTCTTCCTCTCTTTCACTGGGATTTGTTCTCAGGTGAGGTTATATGGACATGTTACACCTACATTTTGAGAAAAAGATTTTTACAAATTAAATTTAGTTAATTTATTATTATTATTATTTTTTGAGTTGCAGTGGCATGCATGCTTATGGCCACCCCAGCTCCAAACTGCTGGGCTCTAGCCATCTTTCTGTCTCAGCCTTTCAAGTAGCTGGAACTATGGGGGTGTGCTACAACACCCGGCTAATTTTGTTACTTATTGTAGAGATGATGTCTCACGAACTGTTCAGAGGTGGTCTTGAATTCACAGGTACAGGAAATCCACTCGCCTCATCCTCCCAAATTGCTGGGATTACAGGCTGAACTATTGAATCTGACCACTTAATCTATTTTTTAAGTAAGGGTCTCACTATTACCCTGGCAGGACAAACACACAGTATGGAAGTGAATCCCCCCAGCAGTCTGGGATGTGGGTACTAAGTGACCTCTAGTTCCTAGGATTTACATGAAGGACCCAGACTCTTTCTTCTTGTTTATCAATTATTTTAAAATAAAGTGTATCAAATAGAAATCTTTCACTTCTCTCTAATCTACTTTCTAAATAAATTATAATCAAACATAAAAGTGTATCAAACTGGGCTTGGTGGCTCAGCCTGTAATCCCGTGCCTTTGGGAGGATGAGTTGGGTGGATTGCCTAAGCCATGGGTTTGAGAACCACCTGGGCAGTGAGACCTCATCTCTACAATAAACAAAAAACATCAGCCGGGTGTGGTAGCACATGCCTGTAATTCCGGCTACTTGGAAGGCTGATGCAGAAGGATCGCCGGAGCCCAGGAAATCGAGGCTGTGGTGGCCGGGAGAGGCCACTGCACTCCAGTCTGGGTGACAGAGTGAGACTCCAACTCATAAAAAAAAAAGTGTATCAAATAAATACTACATACCAGAAGATGAGAGGGATATAGAAAGGAAGGGTGGAGTGTAGTTCAAGAGGGATTTTTCACTATTGTGTTTTTACTTTTTTATAACTTGGGGAGCAATTTCTGGATTTAGTGGGAATGAAGAACAGTTGGGTGGGGATGGCTCCAGAAACACAGGTGCTAATGAAAAAGAAAGCAATAGAAACTCCTAACACACAGTTATTTGCTCCCATTCATCTGCTTTTGGTTGTGGGAAAATGGTGACCACCAGCTCGGGAGAGAAGTTGGGAGTAGCTAACCCAAACTCTGACATCTTTTGTTCAGTACTGTCATGGTAGATTTCAGGGTGAAAAAAGACATGGGGGAGGCTTAGAAGAGGGTGGATCTGGGCAGGGATGGAGCAAGGAGTGAGCCCCATAGGATTCTCATATCATTGCCTCTGGGGTGTTGCCAGTCTGTATTTCCTAAGCCTGCCCAAGAGAAACTTGATGACCAGTGTGTGTATAATTTTAATCTACTAAATTTACTTCCTTCCTTGTCCATTTTATAACATGTAATAATGAGCAATTTCACCAAAAGTCATCAGGCTTTGCCAGGACAATAATATTAGGAGCTAAAGTGTTTTTCTAAGAAGGTAAAAACAACAGAAAGAGTAATAATGAAAACACAACTCTTCTGTACATGAATGGCCCTTCAGGCAGTGACATCAGAACTCACAAAAACATAAGGGAAGGTCCCAAATAGGGCCACATCCCCCAACTGCCCCCTTTTATGTACTGACCATATAGTGTTGAATTCAATCATTTACCCATGTAAAAAAGAAGAAAAGTTTATGGGCTGCAGAGACCTTGACCTCTTCAGCTGTTCTTTCAGAGACCATGTGACATGGAGGTAATTGGTTTAACAGTTTGCTTCTCCAGACCTCCTCTTCAATCTTCACCTAACTACCGGGAAACTGGAGCAATCTTACCTGGGTATCAATCCTAGTGCCAAACCATGGCATGTTCGTGGATGGTTTTGTTTTTTAAATTAAGCATAAAAGATACATTCAGCCAGACTCGGTGGCTCAATCTGTAATCCCAGCACTTTGGGAGACTGAGGTGAGAGGATTGCATGAGCCTGCGGGTTCGAGACCCACCTGGGCAACTTGGCAAGACCTCATCTCTACAATAAATCAAAAAATTAGCCGGGCGTGGTAGCGCATGCCTGTAGTTCCAGCTACTCAAAAGGCTGAGGCTGAAGGATTGCCGGAGCCCAGCAGGTCAAGGCTGTAGTGGCCAGGAGCGGCCGCTGCACTCCAGTCTGGGTGACAGAGTGAGACTCTGACTCAAAAAAAAAAAAAAAAAAAAAAAAAAATATATATATATAATTCATTTAAAGTATTATCTTGGCTTCTTTAGATCACATCACTCAACCCACTCAGACTTTCTATAAGAAAAATAAAAATGTAGATGGGCATGGTGGCTTGGGTCTAGAGATTCAACTACTTGGAAGACTGAGGGGGCCATGAGTGTGCCACTGCACACCAGCCTGGGTGACAAAAGTGAGACACAACTCAAAAAAAAAAAAAGGTTGTGACTGGTGCTTCAGCATGTAACACCAGCACTTTGGGAGGTCAAGGTGAGTAGATTGCCTGAGTTGATGTGTCCATGATCAGCCCAGGCAACTTGGTGAGACCTCTTCATCACAATAAATACAAAATCAGCCAGGTGTGGTAGTACATGCTTATAGTTCCAGCGACTTGGAAGGCTGAGATGAAAGGATTGGTGGAACCCAGTAGGTCGACACGGGAATGGCCATTAGTATGTCATGGCCCTCCAATATGGGTGACAGAGTGAGAACCCAACTCAAAAAGAAAAGAAAAGAAAAGAAAAGAAAAGAAAAACCTTGCACTCAAATCATGGAATAAAATTCTTAAATAAGCCAGGCTCGGTGGCTCAGCCTGTAATCCCACGCCTTTGGGAGGCTGAGGTGAGTGGATTGCCTGAGCCTGCAGGTTCGAGACCCGCCTGGGCAGGAGAGACCTCATCTCTACAATAAAATAAAAAAATTAGCCGGGCATGGTAGTGTGCGCCTGTAATTCTGGCTACTCGGAAGCTGAGGCAGAAGGATCACCAGAGTCCAGCAGGTCGAGTCTGCGGTGGCCAGGAGTGGTCACTGCACTCCAGTTTGGGTGACAGAGTGAGACTCCAACTCAAAAAAAAAAAACAAAACAACGAAAAGCAAACAAACAAACAAACAAACAAAGAAAAAATCTTAAATACTTGGACACACTGGAATTGTTATAGGCTGAAAAGTGGTCATTTTGGTTGTATTTGTGGTTGTATTTGAACAGTCATTTAGAAAGTCTTAAACTTGTATTCTCTTGCAGCTGAGTTGGGATAAACATAAAAGACACTTGGATTCAAAAGTATACTTTGTTCCTATTCAACCCCTTCTCTCCTAGCATGACTTTGCCCAACTGGCCCATCTTATCCTGTATCCACTGCGGGTGCCGAAGAAGAAACAACCGAGCAAGCCAGACCACCTAATAATTAGGACAGAATCCAAGGCTGACACGTTGTGTCTGAAAACTTGGAGTGGACATTGCCCCCCTCCTCTTCATCTGCGAATACAAAGACGTGAAGTGTCCCAGGCAGGGTCTGAGAATACTAGATGGTTACAACTATGTGTTCCCTTCCATTCACATCTTGCAACTGTCTGCTCCATCCTCTTCAAAAACTGTAAAAGAACATATTATCTAAAATGTCAACATGAGGCCAGATGTGGTGGCTCAGCCTGTAATCCCAGCACCTTGGGAGGCCAGGGCTAGAGGATTGCCTGAATTCAGGTGTTCAAGACCAGCCTGGACAACTTGGTGAGAACGAATCTCTACAAAAAATCATAAAAAAAAAAAAAGCTGGGTGTGGTAGCACAGGCCTGTAGTTGCAGCTACTTGGAAGGCTAAGGCAGAAGTATCATCTAAGCCCAGCAGGTGGAGTCTGTGGTGGCCCTGAGCATGCCATTGCACTTCAGCCTGGGTGACAGAGTGGACTCCAACTCAAAAAACAAGTAATAATTAAAAAATAAAATGTCAACACGACCAGCAGATGTTGTGTCACATCAGTAGTCATGTATGAAAAACTGAAAGTAAATCCCGAGTTATGCTAAAACTGCACATAGGATTTGAGCCCAGGGTAGATGAAGGGCTATGAATTGGGGGTATATATACTGGAATAAAGCTGTGTTACTTTAAGCAGACTTATGGGCGATCCGCCAGACCCATCTCCCAACAATTTGAAAATAGAAATCAAACATTTCCCTTTCTTCTGTCTGTGTCTCTGGTGATTAATTGGATCAAACCACAACAGAACTAGGGGCAGCCAGATTTCATAAAGAAACTAAAAGGAAGCCGGGCTCGGTGGCTCGGCCTATAATCCCAGCATTTTGGGAGGCCAAGGAGAGTGGATTTCCTGAGCGCACAGTTTCAAGACCAGTCTGGGAAACTTGATGAGACCTCGTCTCTACAATAAATCAAAGACAAGTCAGGTGCGGTAGTGCACGCCTGAAATTCAGGATATTTGGAAGGTTGAGGAGGAAGGATCCCAGAGTCCAACAGGTCGACGCTGGGGTGGCCATGAGTATGCCACAGCACTACAGCCTTGGCGATAGTTTGAAACTTCAGCCAAAAAAAATAAAAAAGAAATATGTTTATTTCTGAGTTTGAATCAAGGGGACACTGTCCAACTCGAGGTCTTTGTAAATGGGGTTTTGCTTGGCCGGGTTTGCTGACTCAGTCTGTAATCCCAGCAATTCGGGGGGCAGAGGTGAGAGGATGCCCTAAGCCCATGGGTTCGAGACCTGCCTGGGCAACTTGGGAGACCTTATCTTTACACTAAATCAAGAAAAATTCGCCGGGCCTAATGGCGCATGTCTGTGTTCCAGTTTGCTGGAAGGTTGAGGTGGTAGAATCGCCTGAGCCCAGCAGGTCGAGGCCGCGGTGGCCATGAGCGTGCCATTGCCATTCAGCCTGGGCGACAGAGTGAGAGTCCAACTCAAAAAAAAAGCGAGTAAGAGAACACAAGAGGACTCTCAGTCAAGTGCTCAGAAATGTGGAGGAGTGCTTAAACCCCGCCTTCCCCTTCTCTAGAGGCTGTGGGGAAAAGGAGGACCGTTCGTGGGTCTCTGCATCAACCCTGCCGCTTCTCAAAGCCTTTCTCCCCAGGCCTTCCGGGACCGCCACGCCACGAACCCTGGCTGGGCTTCGGGATTCACGATCTGCTGCTGACCCAAGGGGACTCCTTCACATTGTGAAGGAGCCTCCGTGTGACCTTGGGGAGGGAGGGGGGCGGGGGACAGGTCACCGCTCTCCCACCAGCCCCACATGCACGTGGGATCCTGCCTGGGACCGCTCCCCCTTGGCGCCCCGCAAACCCAGAGCAGGGCTGAGAGAAGATTCCCAGAAAGGGGTCTCACGGGTGAGGTTGCCAAGGACACAAGATGCCAGGTCGCGTCCCAGCCCTACATGCATCAGAGGATAGGGCCTTGCCTCGCGCGGGACTGCTCCAGGCCCGCGGCAGCCGGATCATCCGGATCCATCCGCCTTTCCCTCTCCCACCTGGCCCCATACTCACCATCTCCCAACTTCTGGGTGTCTCGGCGTCCTCCCTACAGATTTCCAGGACCTGAAGGTCACAGCGCGACAGACGCTGCAGCAGAGACACCACGCACACCTTGAGAGGAGGACAGAGCAGCAGGTACTACCGATCTCTATGCCACAGGCACAGGAGCCAAAGGCCCAGTCCGCAGCGGAAGCCCCGCCAGCTCTTCCGGCTCGTATTTGATTGGGTCGTTCCCACCATGGCATCCGCTGATAGGATAAGGTTCCAGAGCCCACCTCTCGGGCTTTGAGTGACAGGAGAGGCAGTCAGACAGGGTCTCTTAGAGTCAAGAAAAGCAGATTTCCTTCTTTGGAAATGGAATGTCACTCTGTCGCCCAGGTTGCAGTGCAGTGACACGCTCACGGCCACCCCAGCGTCGACCTCCGGGGTTCCAGCGATCCTTCTGCCCCAGCCTTCCAAGTACTGGGAATGAAGGCACGCGCTACCACACCTGGATAATTTTTTAATTTATTGTAGAGACGAGGTCTCGCTAAGTTTCCCAGGATGGTATCGAACACGCAGGTTCAGACAATCCACTCACCTCGTTCTCCCAACTCGCTGGGAATACAGGTTAAGCCACCGAGCCCAACCAAAAAACAGACTTTTGCCTGCAGCATTTTGAAGCTGAGAGTACTTCCTGCACCAGCACCTGGTCATGAATGGTGACATTCGTCTTGACACTGTTCATAATAATATATTCATTTACGAATAATTTCATACAGCACATACAAGTATGTTATTCATAAATGGAAACAATATACTGGCAATTATTTTAAGTTTCAGATTTTATAACTGAAAGGGTAAACTGAGGCAAGGTGGGCCGTGCCATGGTAGTAAAACAAGATTGCAGTACAGAAGAAAGTAAACTTTTTTTGCTTGTTTTTTGTTTTTGAGTTGGAGTCTCACTCTTTGCCCAGGATGGAGGGCAATGTCACGCTCACAGCCACCAGAGTGTTGACCTGCTGGGTTCAGGTACAAAAATTCAGCAAATTTTTCCTGAATTATTGTAGTGATGAGATTTTGTTAAGTTGCCCAAGTTGGTCTCGAACCTATTGGCTCAAGCCATCCTCTTATCTTGACCTCCCAAAGTACTGGGATTATAGGCATGAGCCACACTGTGCCTGGCCTGAAAGTAAACTTTTTAATTCACCTTTCACAGATGGAAAGGTGGCTGGCACTCAAGAGAATGTGGCATGGCAGGTTGGAAGTCAGGACTATTTAAGGCCTCCAAAGTAAGGCTTTGATTTGTGGAGTGGGGTTAGACCTGGAGGAAGTCTGGTCCAAAAGGAATATTCAGAGTTGCATTCTTTTGTTTCCACAGCAGTCTCATGAATCTTGTATCCTGACATTGCCAGGCATAAAC